CGTTAACTCAAGTTTGATATCATTTTTGTAAGAAAAAAGTCTGTCAACAAGTTTTTCTCATTGTTAAACCCGGATATAATTTAAATTTAATTTGATGATCTAATTCATCATAATCAGCAAATTAACCAAACACTATCAATTGAATAACAATAATTAATTTAGATCTATAAATTAAATCTAAATATCATTGCTCGTTAAACAATCTGAGTTAGTCGATTCGATTATTTAGAATAATGAAAGATAGCTTGACCGAGATCTCAAATCCTACTCGTCCGTGGAGAAGAACTTTTTTTATCCTAAGTTTTCTAGGCCCTAAATCGTCCATGATCACTAGAGTTAGATTACCAGTAACTGTGAATATTGTTTTTGGTACATAGTAGGGACAATTACTAGACACTGATTTGAAGCATGTACTTTTTAGTTTGGCTCCATGTAGTTTGTTACTCATTGGCTGCCAACCAATTCTTAAAGGATTTCAGCAGGTGCTGCCTGCAATTTTGGATGGTAAATATTCTTTGTAAGGTTTCAGCTTTGTGCAATTCTAACTTCAACTTTATTGGTCTTTCTAGTGGACTAGTATGCAGAAAAGCATACATGCCATCTGGTTGTGCACATAAGGTTTTACTTGAATTTTCTTGGATGATTTATGAAGAAGTTTACATTTGTTGAGCTGACTTAAATTTGAGAGTCATATGAAGTGATCGTCATTTGCTTGTGTGTGCTTTTGATTGCCTCCATTAGCAAATTTTTATGTGCATAATTTTCAATCGGTCACATTTAGCTGCACTTAAGTTGTAACATTTAGAATCTTTTAGCCTTTAAAATCCTTATAGCTTCTTGCCTTCTTCTATATTATGTTTTGGTTTGTTAGATCCCATCTTCTTGCCTATGTTATGTGTTCTAGTCTTTTCGATGAAATATTATGCAAAAAAAAAAATTATGCCCTTTATATGGTTTTAGTTGAAGTGTGCCATTTACTATTTCACTTATCTTAGCTGATTTATAACTAGGTTTACATGTACTAGGCTGACTTAAAACCTAGAGTCACATGAAGTAGGGGTCATCTGCTTGCATGAACTTTTGATTGCCTCCATTACGAACTTTTTTATGTGTGCAATCTTTGTTCTATAATTCTCCATGAGTTTCAGTCATATAACATTCATACAGCTTTTCCCATAATAAGGGATTTCTTTCTGGTTTTCTTCTTGGGTTTCTGTTCTTTATCCGCCTGCAGTTTGAGTGGTTAGTTAAAGCATGCTCCTCTGTATGTTCTTCAATTTCAGCAAAACCTAAGTATAAGACACTGTCGTGCGTACTCCNATAGAAACCAGGGCCTATAGTTCCAAACCTGAATCCTATATTGAGGAGAGAAACACATTCAGTCCATCGGTTTGTACTTGTTGCAGGTTTAACCTCTCAAACATAGTGTCAACGGACCTAAATTATGTTTCTCTAAGTTTTATAATGCCATCATGAGAAGGATTTGATTTTCTCAGTCAGCTGAAACCAACAATAACAATAATGGCGATATGAAATCTGTTGAGTTGCAAGCAAGATATACATAATCAACGCAAAAAAGCAAGATCCAAAATCTGCCATTAAAGCTAGAATTGAAGAACCATAGGAGCATGCATATCTTTGGTTAACTCCCAAATTGTGGGCGCATCAAAAACACAAACACAAGAAGAAAACCAGAAAGAAATCCACCATCATGAGCAAACTTGTGTATAAATCAGCTAAGACAATTGATCGAAGCAAATAATTAAAGAGCACACTTCGACCATGTGTGCAACCAAACCAAAGGGCACATACACTTTTGCATAATGCTGACGAGCACACCAAGTGCCACATCACAAAGAGATTCAATCTCAATAACAAGACCGAAGAGAATGGAGATTCAAAATACAGGACTACCTATGTTTAAGTTAGAATTTCACAAAAGAGAAAAGAGGAAAGTAAAGAATATTCACCATCTAAAATTGTGGGCAACACCTGCTAAAAATACTTTATTTATGAATTGGCTGCCTATGACCTGAGCAGCTACTTCNCAACGGTTGGGTAGTTTGACCCAAAGAAACATGATACCCCTTTCACCAATACTTGTTATAGAAATATTTGACTGTTGGGACATCGACTTCATGGGTCCTTTTCCTATGTCATTTGGTTATTTGCACATCCTCCTGGCAGTAGACTATGTGTTCAAATGGGTGGAAGCTATCCCGACCAAGACTAATGACCACCGAGTCGTAGTCAAGTNCCAACTACATAGAGCTATAATGGAATTGCAACAACAAAACAGAATCCATGAAGCATAACCATTGAGTTCATATGAAAAATCCACCACTTCAAAAGTGTAAAATTATCTCACAAGAAGAAAAACTGAACCACCATTTGAAACAAAACACTTGCTTTAAATCTATTAGAGTTATTATCCCTACTGTGTACATAGTACATAACNAACAACCCATTGGTGAGGAGTAATAATTCAAAATCATTGAATTATTTAATTTACATAATTTGATTATAACTAGCTTGAGTTTAGGTGTAATATCTTTTTTTTTTTCCCGTTAACTCAAGTTTGATATCATTTTTGTAAGAAAAAAGTCTGTCAACAAGTTTTTCTCATTGTTAAACCCGGATATAATTTAAATTNATCACTCCTTGTGTTAGGGATCATGGGAATCTCACTTCCTAGTAAAGGCTCTTCGCGATTATCTTTTCAGCTTCTAAGCAAAATACTGTACCCCCTCCCAAAGGTCTCATTGATGTGGCCAATGAGTAAATGTACATTCTAAAAAGTATACTAATTGTTCCTAACATAAAAACAAGGCAACGATCATCATAAATCCTAATATCCACAGTTAGTTANAAAGAGTAATGGAAGATAGCTTGACCGAGATCTCAAATCCTACTCATCCGTGGAGAAGAACTTTTTTTATCCTAAGTTTTCTAGGCCCTAAATCGTCCAGATTTGAGCATATTCGTTCACATCCTTCGCTTCTCTATCTTTCTCTGTGGATCTGAAATCAACGGTGAAACAGCTAGTAGGAGTCGGCATAGGCGACGGAGTGTTAAATTTTTGGGTCTGAGTAGGATGGTGCCGTTTGGTTTTTTTTTTTTTTTTTTTGGGTCTGATTAGGATGGTGCCATGGTATATATCTTTAGTCGATTCATAATTAGTCATCTGGTTTCAAACGCGATCATCCAAAATTAAAACACTTGTAGTGATATGGGTGTTGAGCTGAGATATTTTCAGGTTAACGAGGTATGAATGACCCTATAGTTTTAGTGGAATATTGTATTTACTTGAGCAAGGCAGCTTGCCCGTGTACGAAATTCTGAGCCTTAATTGATTTCCTATTGAACAAAACATAAAGTACATGTTGAAACGAATGACCTCTTTGAACTTGATTTATCAACCTCTTTGAACTAGATTCATCGATATTATACTCACTCAACCAAAAATCTCTGAATTAATTTTCACCTGCTGTGTATCAAACTAATCAATGAACTGCTATTTCAACAGAGGGCAAGCAATATAACATTAATAGCTGAAGCCACCAGCAAGGGACATTAATGCAATTTTTAACACCTCCAATCCAAAAAAACAGATTTGTATAAATCAATGGCGAAGCTGCGTACATAGCCTAAGACTATCTCTGTCTTGATTTTCGTTGCTTGAGCAAGTTAATTAATTTGAGCTGGTCACCACTTTTCTGTAGCTGAAACAATGACATCAAGTTAATTTGCATAAAAACTACCTAATAGAAACCAGGGCCTATAGTTCCAAACCTGAATCCTATATTGAGGAGAGAAACACATTCAGTCCATCGGTTTGTACTTGTTGCAGGTTTAACCTCTCAAACATAGTGTCAACGGACCTAAATTATGTTTCTCTAAGTTTTATAATGCCATCATGAGAAGGATTTGATTTTCTCAGTCAGCTGAAACCAACAATAACAATAATGGCGATATGAAATCTGTTGAGTTGCAAGCAAGATATACATAATCAACGCAAAAAAGCAAGATCCAAAATCTGCCATTAAAGCTAGAATTGAAGAACCATAGGAGCATGCATATCTTTGGTTAACTCCCAAATTGTGGGCGCATCAAAAACACAAACACAAGAAGAAAACCAGAAAGAAATCCACCATCATGAGCAAACTTGTGTATAAATCAGCTAAGACAATTGATCGAAGCAAATAATTAAAGAGCACACTTCGACCATGTGTGCAACCAAACCAAAGGGCACATACACTTTTGCATAATGCTGACGAGCACACCAAGTGCCACATCACAAAGAGATTCAATCTCAATAACAAGACCGAAGAGAATGGAGATTCAAAATACAGGACTACCTATGTTTAAGTTAGAATTTCACAAAAGAGAAAAGAGGAAAGTAAAGAATATTCACCATCTAAAATTGTGGGCAACACCTGCTAAAAATACTTTATTTATGAATTGGCTGCCTATGACCTGAGCAGCTACTTCCAACTACATAGAGCTATAATGGAATTGCAACAACAAAACAGAATCCATGAAGCATAACCATTGAGTTCATATGAAAAATCCACCACTTCAAAAGTGTAAAATTATCTCACAAGAAGAAAAACTGAACCACCATTTGAAACAAAACACTTGCTTTAAATCTATTAGAGTTATTATCCCTACTGTGTACATAGTACATAACTATAATCATAAATTCTAATATCCACAGTCAATCAGATTTTGAACACCCCTTGTGTTAGGGATCATGGGAATCTCACTTCCTTGTAAAGGCTTTTGCGATTATCTTTTCAGCTTCTAAGCAAAATACTGTACCCCCTCCCAAAGGTCCCATTGATGTGGCCAATGAGTAAATGTACATTCTGAAAAGTATACTAATTGTCCCTAACATAAAAACAAGGCAACGATCATCATAAATCCTAATATCCACAGTTAGTTAGATTCTAGACACCCTATGGGTTCGGTATCATGGAAATCACACTCTCTTGTAAACCCTATTCTTGATCACCATTCGGCAACTCTTCTTGATCAACATTCAGCAGCTCAGCTAGGGAGATACTATCCCATTTGTGTTATTCGTCATAAATAGGTTCCAGAGCAGGCAAGCAACATTCTTCTGATATTGGAGACTTTGTTGCACAAGGCATGACTTTACTTTGTATTTGACATTCAAATCCGGTTCTTCCACCATAATATAAAGCACCAGCACTTGATTGGGGGTGCCACTGATGCAACTACGATGGATCCACATTGCACAACTAGTGTTGTCCCCATGTTATTATTACGGCTCATGTATTCCTCATACTGATATCCTTCAAGTTGGGCCACCGAAAGGCTCGGCTCATTGTTGATTGCTTGCTGGGGAATAGCTTCACTATCATCTTCTACTAAGGCAGCCATGATACTATTTGGCACTTAAATTCTGCAGACCCGTCTCGTCCAGAATATAATGCACCAAAATCAGGGGTAACTACCATGCTCATGTGTTGTTGATATGGATATCCTTCAAACTGGGCAANCTGCAATGCCTTTAAAACTATTTTGGGTATGTCTCCCTACCGGCTTGTCTATGGAAAGGCTTGCCACCTGCCAGTCGAAATGGAACACAAGGCCTATTGGGCCANTGGACACCCGATGGGTTGGGTATAATGGAAATGACACTCTCTTGTAAACCCTGTTCCTGATCACCATTCGGCAACTCTTCCTGATCAACATTCAGCAGCTCAGCTAGGGAGATATTGTTATCCGACATAAATAGGTCAGCGTAATCCCATGTTTCCAGAGAAGGCAAGCATCATTCTTCTGATATTGGAGACTCTGCTGCACAAGGCATGATGTTACTTTGTATTTGATATTCAAGTCAGGTAGGTTCAAGTTGTTTGGAGGATAATATTCAGGAAGAAAGTGAGGATGATGACTATTATGAGGTTCAATCAGGTGGATCTTCTAGTCATGATAAGCAGTATAATGAAAGTGATTATGCATTAACAGATAATGATTTGTTATATGAAACAAATGTTGAACATGGAGTAAAGTGGGTTGGTGCCAATAATTACAGGGAAATGGAAAATAGTAGAGAATTTGCATTGCCTAAGCAGATGGATAAGTTAAAAAAATTTTGTGATCCCTAAGCAGAATTTGAAGCATATGGATAAGGGGAAAGGTATTGCACTAGGGCAAGATGAAGCAGAATCTGAAGATGTGCCATCTTATGAGCTCAGAAGCATTTGTAGTTCATCAAATAATGATGACAGGATACAATTTTCTATTTTTAACCCCAAAACTGACATGAATAACCTTGTTTTCAAGCTGGGCATGAGGTTTACTAGTGTAGTTGTGTTTAGGGAAGCAGTTAGGGAATATGCTATTAAGAGTGGAAAGCAGATTACATTCACAAGGAATGAAAAACACAGAGTTAGAGCTGTATATAGGGAAGGGTGCAGTTGGATAATATTCGCTTCAAGAATGCTGGGGGAAAGTAAAAGGCAGATAAAAACATATGTAGATGAGCACAAGTGCCACAAGTCATTTCATATTAAGAATGCAAACTCCAAATGGTTATCCAGAAAGTATGTGGACAACATCAGATCAAACATGAAATGGCCTTTAAGATTCATTAAAGAATCATTTTAGAAGGAGTTTAATCTGAGTATGAGTACAAGTCAAGTGTTCAGAGCAAAAAGAAAGGCAATAAACAACATAACTGGTACATCTACTGAACAATATGGTATGTTGTGGGATTACATAGAAGAGGTTAAAAGAACAAACCCTGGTACAATTGTATTGATGAAGGTTAAACACTATGGCACTGGTTAGCAACCTATGTTTAAGAGGTTTTACATATGTTGGGGTGCTCTAAAAAAGGGATTACTTGAAGGATGCAGGCAGAGATTGGGTTAGATGGGTGCCATCTTAGGGCAGCATGGTGGTGTTTTTAATTACAGCAGTTGGAATCAATGCTATGAACAACTGATTTCCCTTTGTGTATGCTGTCGTTGAAAAAGAGACAAAGAAATCATGGTCTTGGTTGTACAATACCTTAAAGAAGACCTAAGTATTGAAAACAACTACTCATACACAATCATTTCAGACAAGCAAAAAGTGAGTGTTTCCGACTAAATTTATGCTGTGCAAGTTTGTTGTTTTGTAGTCAATCATTGAAGTCAGATTGTTTATTGTACACAAGGACTGATTCCAGCCATTGAAGAGCTACTACCTAATTCTGAACACAAATTTTGTGTGATGCATCTCATTAATAACTTCAAGAAGAGCACAAAGGGTTAGCTCTAAGAGACCTACTTTGGAAAGCAGCTAAAGCAACCAGAATGAGTGAGTTTCAGAGTATAATGGAACAACTAGAGAAGGTTGATGTAGATGCTTACAAATGGTTATGTGAGAGGCCTCTTATTCATTGGAGTAAATCACATTTTTGCATATTATCAAAGCGTGATTCTTTAGTGAATAATATTTGTAAGAGTTTTAATGCATATATATTGGATGCAAGAGATAAGTCAGTCATTATAACAAAAAAGGAGAGATCGGATAATAAATTATACAAGTTTACTCTCTCCAAAAGCACAAAAAATATTGGAAAAAAACAAAGAGGATGCAGGTTCTTGGATCCCAAGGTGGAACGGGAATGATAAATTCGAAGTTGTAGGCCCTTATGAAGAACAACTGTCTAGATGTCAAAGAGATGACATTTTCATGTAGGAAATGGGATCTCACAGGTATCCCATGCCGCCACGCTATTTCAACAATCAATTTTTTACGCAAAGGTCCAGAGTCTTATGTTGAAGACTTATGAAAACATGCTAAATCCAATGAATGGCATAGAGATGTGGCCTAGGACAGGGCACACTGCTGTGGGGCCTCCTAAGTTTAGTAGGTCCCCAGGTAGGCCTAAAAAAGCTAGAGGGAGAGTGAAGCCTCATACAAAGAAAGTGAGCGTGATACAAGAAATAAGGGCATTGTTGGGGTACACACAACGAAAAGGGTAGTGTGGGCAGTTACAAGGTTAAGTAGTTGAAAAAAGATAAGTAATACTTTTTGAACAGCCGATCGCTCTATCACTTAGCTACTAAGGAACACATTGGACACATTGTACATGCTTTTTTGGACACATTGTGTATTTTTTTTTTTTGGACACATTATGTAGCAACACAATTGGGATTTTTGAACTGATGTGTGTTTGTCTATTGTGACTTGTTTTAGCCTAGTTTTTTATAGATGCTTAAAAGTATACGGGGTTGTTTGGTTTGTGACAAAACATAGGAAAAAAACTCCTCAATAAGCAGCACTAAGGATCATAAAAAACTAAAATACATATCATTATAGCAAAATGTTAAAACCATAATACATACACCACCCATCAGTTAGTACGTATTCATAAAGTTACAACTTCTAAATTTTCCCTCAACAACTGTACTTGTATATCCTTTGGTTGATTCTGTTGGAGATATAGTAACCTAGTTTATTAGGGTTTATTAAGTTTTCTCTTTTTACCTTTTTATCCTTATTATAATTTTCATTGACTATATATACGGGGCTCTATCCCTTTAACTCATACATATTCCTCTTCTTGGTATCAGAGCCAAACCCTAACCCTAACCTCCATCATAATTAATCCAAAGCTACAACCACCTAGCTGCCACCACCACTGCTCACCGACAGCAACCCAGCCACCGCCACAGCCAGCCACCTTGCTGCCTCACTGCCCAACCCTGCATCCAAAAACAACGAAACCATCTCCATAAACCCAGTAACTACGACAAGCAAGGCAGCGGCCAAGACCCAATAGCCCACTGCCCACCCACTAACCACCGACTGCAACATATACCTCCAATCCACTGCCATCACCGACATACCATCACCGAACAACCGACTGACCCAAAAATATATACCATCACCGACATACCACCAGCCACTACTAGCCAAAACCCAACAACCGACTGACCAACAATACTACCACCATCGACTGCAACATGCAACTTATAACCCAAAACTCCAACACCCAGCCACTACCAGCCAAGATCCCACTGCCAGCCAACATATACCCATAAAAAACCGACCCATATACCAACGACCCACTGTTGATACCCCACAAACAAAACCCAAAAACNAAACCGACCCATATACCAATGACCCACTGTTGATACCCCACAAACAAAACCCAAAAACAAACTAGCAACCCATTGCCCAACAAAAACCAGCAACACCGACTGACCCAAAAATAAACCCGCGACCCACTGCCTAATCCAACGAACCAGCCTACTGTTGGGACGCATTCTTCGTCACAACTTCGTGTTTTGTCTTCGTTCGCTTGATTATTTGGGATTGTAGGACCTTTTAAGAGAGGTTGAATCCTCCTCTCCGTTGATATGCTCTTGATGCAGTAGATTATTTATTTATATTTATTGGATTTCTAGGTTCACTACTGTTCGACTGGAGGTATATTGTTCTCCCTTATTTTATCCCTCTATTTATCTTAGAGTTATTGTTTCTATCACGAGTGCCCTAGTATTGTTGTTGATATGACTACTACTGAGGGACCTGAGACCCCTACTGTTGACACCTCTACCGTTGAGACATCTATTGGTACTTCCACTTTTATGTTTGACCAGTATACAGTACTTACTGGTACAATTGCATTACCAGCACTGCCAGACATGATTTCTCAGAAAGTTACGACACAGTTGTTGAATGCCCGTAACTTCGCTGAGTGGTCTCACTCATTCCGGTTGGTTGACGGGATCTCACCTAAAGCCAGCTGATGCCGACTCTGGATATTCTGTGTGGTTCTCTGAGAACTGCGCTATTTTTGGATGGTTATTTGGCTCGATTGAGCCATCTGTTTGCAGGATTCACCAGTTTCATAGCTCTGTTCAAAAGCTATGGAGGACATTATTAGAGATGTATTCCCAGTCAGAACGGGGAGTACGTGTTTATGAGTTTTTTTAGGAATTCTCATATGCTCGGCAGGGAGATATGACCGTTTAGGATTATTATGGCTATTTGACCCAGCGCTGGCTTGAGTATGAGACTCTACGTCCTCTTGTTGATATTCCGAGGATAGAGCCCAAGGGAGCAACATTCGTTCATACTCAAGAGAAGGAGGATAGGATTCACAAGTTTCTTATGAGGCTTCGTGATGAGTTTGAAGGACCTCATTCCCAGATCTTGTCGATGTTGATGCTTCTTTCTCTTTATGAGGTGTATGCGATGATTGAGTAGCATGAGGGCCGTGTCCGTATTGCATAACTTCTAGTTGTAGCCTTGACTCCTCCGGCTGATCATATAACCCTGGTAGCTGCTGCAGGGTCTCGTTCAAGATCCTTAGTTAGGGGTGGGCAACACTCGGACCAGTGCCGTCAGGGTGCCCCAGATTAACGCAGACAGAG